TTTTAAGACTCAGTGTCTATACTTCTCGAGAACCTAATAATCTCTTAGGCACTCACATGAATTCATTACCGTCATTTTATCAGAGATTTATAGCACATCAATTTCATCAGAAAGTTCACCCAGACTCTGCTCTCTTCCCGCTCGAGAGGCTCCCAAAGCGATGTACTTTTGCATGGAATGGAAATTGTGAGGGAAGTGGTGGTAAAAGTTTTCAGCATCTTAACCCTTTTCTCGTCTTGGAAGATGACTCCCTTTCATCGTATATACGCCCCTGAAATGAGATATAACACTCAACAACAAGGCCTCTCTTAATGGGGGGTAATATCTAATTAGCACAAAACACCCGCTAATCCGATTCCTCTCCTCCAATGCCCTTTTCTCCCCAGTTTTGGTGTTTTATGGAGTGTTTGTCTGTCGCCCTGGCTAAAAGGGATTTTGGGAAGAATAGTGTTTTATCTAACACTAAATTCAATTTGAAATGCATGATTTTCCAAAGGAGAATATTCCTTTCTTGTGAATAAAAATGATGGAAATTTTTATGCAAATTTTCACTCCTTTCTAAAAGCACATCTTTTCAGATTTCCTGCTTTTCAACTTTCCCCCTTTTTTCCCTAGCTGAAGAGGATCAATTTCAGAAGATTTCCCTTTTTCATTCCCTCATCATTGACTCACTTTCTGACTAATTGACCATTCCGCGAAAGGAAATTTTATGCCTCTTGTGAAATTTTTTATACTGAGATATCGTATTTCACTTTTCTGGAAATGTATAAAGACAGTTCCCCTTGAGAATTTGTTGATATTTTCTTTAAAAACCATTCCTTTTTACCCTCTTGCATGAATTTTGTATGCGTGTGCAGTGAATCACAGATGAAAAAAAGACTAGTAATTAAATTGATTAGACAATTTAACAAGTGGTTTAGAGGGAGTTGGCCTCGAGGCGGCGTAAAAAGTCCCTCGATCCATTGAATTTAAGTGGAAGAGACAAAGAGGAGCGCGAAACGGGTCGGAAAAGATTTCCCCCAAAAGGCCAGTAATGCTAATTAATTCTCAACGCTTATGAATTGTAAAGCAGAGGAGCAAGAGTGTTGATACTTTCACGATGGGATGATGAAAATTGAAACCCTTTCTTATGCTAATACCCGAGATATTTGCACCATTGAGATCTCCAGGCGCTGAGGAAGAGAGCGAGTGAAAAGACCATCGAAGTATATTCTTCAGACGAGAGTGGAGAGTCTATTTTGAATATTCGTCATTCCATGGGTGTGTCGGAAGGTACGCTGCTGAATAAGAAGGAAAATATTTGAAATATTATCCCAAGAAATCAGAGATGAAATCATATTTTGTGTTACCCAAAGGGCAAGAGAGATGGAATTCCGAGCAAAATAGACTCTCAAATCATTGAAATACCTCCTTTGAGATATTTCTAATTAATATTAATACCTTTGATAATTAAGACATGCTAGATTTTAGGGTTTTTGTACAGTTATTCTGGGTATTTAGTATCTGGATTCTTCTGATTCTATGACGCAAATATGAACTTCGCATCATTTCTCGAAATCAATACTCTTTCCTATTGTAGAGATTATTTAATTTAGAATTGATGCTTCTATCCTCAGAGATTATGTAATTAGGAATAATTTATTATGCATGCATGCTATACAATGGAATTTTTCTTTAAAAAATTACTCCTGTATTTTAACAGCACTATATAAAAACCTTGACGAAAACCGAGGGAGAAGATTGAATTGGGAGGCGTATCAAATAAACAGAATCCCCCGACGACAGGGCAAATCTTGACATGATTTCATATTGTGTAGCAGCAATCAAACCAAACTGTTTGCCAGGGATTTTTAAAATAGACTTTTTATAAGCCACTCTCTCTCCCGCCCCTGTCAGAGCGGGCGGCGAAGAGGGCAGAGCTCCTGAGGGTGGCTTGAATTGTATTTCACAGACAAGTGTAGCAAAGGCAGCAGCTTGGCGCAAAAGAGGGTGACGACAAACCATTTATTCCATAATAGCCTGCCGCACGGGGTGGCACGGAGGCGCGCCCCCATCCACCCACTCTCACCAGCGTCTCGTGGTGGCGTATAGAAATTTTGTGTGCCGTCAAATCCTCGGGAATCTTATTAGGAGCATTTTTTGCCACCCCCAGATTGCGAGCCGACGAGATACAGATGATGGCTGACGGGAGAGCTGTCGAGGAGAGGAGGCCAGTGAAGGACGAGAGACGGTGGTTGCCATGGGGCGAGCCTCAATGAGCTCGAGCGAAGGAATTGACTAATATAAATCGATTTCTGGCGTAATAAATGGCAATTCAGAGCATCTCTCTCACCCAGCGCTCGTCCCTGGGAATTTATTCATCACGGCATAACACACCCAAATTAAATTGGGTTCACTTGATGAGGACACAGACTTTTCCTTCTCCACTTTTCGCACTCAGATGCCAAACGCTTCACTGGGATTGCGATACAGTGCCAATCAATACTGTTTATAGAATATAGAGATTTGTAAATAGTAGAAAATTTAATAAATCGCATCCTAATTTTTAATTTAAATATTTAATTTGAACCAAAGTGGACAGAAAAACAGAGATTAGCAATACTTATAGAAAATATGTTGCTCCATATACTGCTCAAATGAATTCTCTTTTGTCCCCCATGCAAAGTGAACGCTTCGCTGTATACTTTAGTCTCACCAACTTTTCCGACCGATCGATATCGGAGAACAGAGAAAAAGCATTAAAATAGTCAAAACTTACTTGATAGTCCACACTTTTCCTCCATTTTCCACTGGGAAGCTGCAGCAGGAGAAACCGCAGAAAAACTTAGCAGGCGCAGCGTCGATTGGACAGTGATAAATTGACGTCTACCCTATTTCCTCATATCGACGGCGTCGCGACGTCTTCGTATTGCGGTTGGTTTTGCGGTTACAGATGGGCGTGACTTGTGGTCGGTGAAATGCTGATTTGATTGGGGACGAGAATCCTTGCAGATCCTTGAATAACAATTGGTCATTCGTTGCAAGGCAGTTTCTCATTGACACACATTTTCCATTTATTTGCAGAAAACATTCTAAATGAGGAGAAAAGGCCTACAAAATGAAAATAAAATTGAATTTTAAATAGTATCTTCTGTGTGGAAATAATAATGTTTAACGACAGTAGCGTCGTCTCTGGGAAAACACTCAGAAGCGCCGAAAAGCAGAGCTTAAGAATTCAATCGAAGACTCAAACTTTGAGAGTGTGCTTCACGCAATTGAAAAGAAAAGGGGAAAAACGTTTCAAGAAATCGTGAAAATTTCGTTTAGAAAGTATACGAGAAGACTTTTTCCTCGACTCTTTCTTGGAAAATAGGGGAAGTTTCGTAGCATTTTCTCCTCTTGTCACAAAGAAATTCTGCGCAGTTGAACAAAATTTCATTTCAGGCAAAATCGTCACGTCTTCGGCACTTCGCGAAGACATTTTCCTCAGAATGTGCGATAGAAAGCGCTCGAAAAGAGGCCAAAAGACTTCCGTTTTTCCCTCTTTTTCCCACTGATATTATTGCACTTTGCTTTAATGCGGAAAAAGGGCAGAATATTTCAACAGATGGAGCTACGAAACCACTTCCTGTCTCTCAACAGTTTCCGCGAAAATAATTTTTCATCCACATTGAAATTTAATTAAATTTAGTGGCCATCCGCAACTGTTTGGCGAAATGAAAAGAGGAGGGAAAAATTATTATTATTATTAATTTGGCAGGAACTTTCTGTCTCACTGACTATTTGCGTTCCTCTATAGATGAAAACTGAAGGTTTTTGTGTACACAAAGAAGCAACTTTAATTTGGACTCTATGAAAGAATTTTACAATATTCAATTGGCCAATCAGTATCTTTTAGGGCAATATTATTGATATAAAGTGCCCCAAATGTACTCCACCTCCGAAATATGTATGAAGTTCAACCAATGAAATAATTAAAGTGTATCTCGTGCACTTTGATATTCACAAGCAAATAAAACCACATAAATTAATTAATTCGAATCAATAACTCCAACTAGGCACAATATTGATTCCCACATGTGCCCCCGCGCCCACACTCTCTCCGGAACAATCCCACCGGGTTTTGCGATACTTGAAATGATCGGTGCATTGCTGGGGATATTTAGTTGGCTCCAGTCGTGTGTGTAAAGTGGTTAGAAATTTCAAATTCTGGATCATTGATTAATTCACACAAATTTGTGTGGCTACTTTAAAATAGTTTTGTTTACAGTCCCCCTGAGCCGACGAAGTTGGGGTGCGGGCAGCTTCGTCTATACATATTTTGAATTTAATTAAGCATAGGTTTCAGCGAGAGAAAAATGTCGGTTAATTAATATGAGAAGATATTTTCCATGGTGCAAAATTACTAAACTCATCAAATTATTTACACTCTCCCCACAAATTTTGTATATACTGAGGGAAATCAATGCAGACATGTGGGCGGATTGGGTGGGAATATTTTCAATATGTTATCCGGCAAGTGACACACACGCACCGCTGATTGACAGTGCTCAAAAAGCTCGTTCTAATCATTTGCCAGAACCACCCTCAAAACCCATCCACTCGCTGGTTGCCAGAAAATTCCGAAACGGTATAATATCCTAATTTTGCATCACCACCTAATACAGTCCCACTAATAAATCAACCAACTCATTAATGCCACAATTCCCAGAACATTCGCGCGCACAATCTCGAATTTGTGCTAAAATATACACGCACCGGGGCTCAAACCACCCCAAAAGAGGGTGCAATGCAATTGCAAAAGGACTCGCCAGATGAAAGTGGCCCCGAACATTCCCCACCAACAATTCCACTGCAATTCTAAACCATTGTCAATTTACGGCTAAATTATTATGGTCCGTAATTGTTTGCAATCCTCGACGACGCACTGCACTGATTTGATAATCATACACAATTCCCAGTGGGCAATTGGGCATGTCGCCGAAGTGTCCCTCCTAAACTGATCACTAATTACTATCATTTCATTTATTTTTAACCTTATATTTACATCTACAACTTGGGACTAGTTTACAGATTTGCATTTAAGAAGTTACAGTTAATGCCGAGGGGGTTTTATATGTAATTCACAACATTACTCTCACACACCTTCACTCGTTCTCTTATCTCTTTTGTCATTTCACTAAGTGTCTCCTTATACAGGTAGGGTTTCTTTAAATCCATTAATACAGCTTTTCCTCATTAATGAGCCATTTCCCCTTTAAAAGGTTGTATAAATACACTTGAGGTACGCAAAATGGAGATTCTTCTCAGTTTATTTCACTTCTCGAACCTCTAGAGCGCGAAATAATCTTCAATTATGCGTACTCAGAATTTATACAACCACTTAAAGTTGAATAATAAGTTACATTCTTCTAGCCTATGTTAAAACATTGTAGATGTCCTTACCTGTGAGAGCAAATTTTAAACATCATATCATGAATTCAAATGAAGACTGTGTATCTTTTGGGAATCAATTTCAATCGAATCTGGTTATGAAGGTTAAGCCTATCATTAAACCATTTATAAATCTTGCAGATTGCCACGCTTTGCGCTAATCTTACGAATTAATCGTCCACAAACTTTTTATAATTCCATACCAAAACAGAATGATTGCAGAGACACGGAAAATAATCACATAATTCACTGAACAATAATTTCAGAGCTTTTCCAATTTTTTCTTTAAACTCTTCCTTTAAATTATGAGTATTTCAAGAGCAATTAACATCTCTTTCATGCATTTCTATCAATTGCCAACAGAGGAATTTTAACCATACTTCTCATAGCAAATGAATTTGCAAGGTCAAACTCCCCTATAATCTCTAGCATGAGAGACTCAAATATACAATTAAATATCTGAGATATCATTACAAATTACATAACTACCAAATTGCGAGCATTACAGAGTCACCTTCCTTGAGACAAGCGCAAGAGTTCTCATCTCTCTGCCAAGAAAAATCCACGCAGTGAAAACTCTTGGGATTGTTACTTTGCGAAATTCACATTCCATTGCCAGTCACTGAGGCGCAACCATCAGGCGGTCGGCCTCAGTAGGGTCTCCACACAGAATTCCCATTGTCTGTCTGCCCGGCTGCGGCCCCTTGAGGCTGAGCCCCTCTCTGGCCCATACCCACCCCGCGAACACTCACGACAGACTCCTCACCGCCGCGAACGGCTCCGCCGCAAGTCCCCACTAGCGTGAGCTCAGCAGCGTGCGTGGCACCCGGCATGAGCCCCTGATGGTGATGATGACGCGCCCCAGCCGCACTCCCGCCCGTCGTGATGTGATCCATCACACTCTGGAGTTCCCCGTGGACGCCTGAGTTCTGTGTGTGCGTCTGCAGGGAGTGCGTGTGAAAGGAGTGCGTCTGATTGGCGGCCGTGTAGAGTTGAGAGTAGAGCAAACTGGCCGGCAAGACAGGATAGATAGATCCATTGCATCCACCCGTGGACGCTCCATAGGAGTTTTGTGTCTGATTCACCACAATTCCGGAGAAATTTTGATTTCCACCCCCATTGGCTCCATTCGCACCGGTATTCGCACCTCCGGCAGTGCCAATGTTGGGCGTGTTGGATGTGAGCAGATCATCTTGCACCGGAGATTCCGCCTGGGACGAGTCACTAAGACTTCGCGGTCCATTCTGACTCGAGTGCACGTGGTAGTCATTGGTCGCAGCACTGTTGCCGTGATATCGAGGAACTAGGAGACCATTGGAGACATTTCCAGGTGTCTGAGCGCCTCCGCCACTTCCAGCCGCACCCAGCAGACTCTGGTGTGTCGTGGTCATTTGTGGTGTTGGCGGTGTTCCCACAAGGTTGCTCAGATGTTGATCCAGATCCGTTGCAGTAGAGTCCGGAAGCACTGGAACATCACAACACTCTCGTTGGCCACACGCTCATGCAGCGAGCAACACAAATATGCAAATGATAGAGACACATTTCTGGTCACACTTACTTGGAACGCAGTCGCGATTGCCGCCGGTGAAATCTTGTGAGGTGTTCTGGTCGGTGGTGGAGCAGGTGAATCCCAGGGCGGGATTGTTGAATTGGGCCGCAGTGGGAGTTGTACAGCTCGTGAGGGTGCTTCCGGTCAAGTAGGGCGAGTAAGGACCCGTCGTGCCGTAGCCCCAGTGCGAATTGGCCGTGCCTAGGCTGAATTGCGACATGTCTGCAAAATGCAAAATTATAACAATTTAGAAAAACTGTTTCATTCCATGTCCAACAAAGGACAATAATATTTTTAGTAATTCCCGTAATTTCGATATCACTAATGTTATATTACTTAATTTTACAGTATATAAAAGCAATTACTCTACCTACAAAATTGATGTGTAAAAGCTTCTTCAATGGCCAATGTTTTTCATTACAGGTTTATGAAAAACATAACAAAAAAAATTACATTACAGTAATTCGATTTTTCTGAAATTAACCACTGGCATAACAACGTTTTCCTTCAATACTGCCTATTGGATTGCTGCTCAACAAAAATCTACAGTAAAACGCGAAATGTGATGGATCGTATCAAGGAGAATTAGAAATAGAGATTATATAGCATATTTTTGTTTATTCGATGCGTGTATTTTTTGGCACAAAGTAGAGTTGGAATGAGTGCAATTAATAATTGAAATTGTGTTAAACTAACGCTCAGCGTTTTCCCTTTTAATCGTGTAAAATGAATGGTTGGATTGGCGGCGAGCCATTATAAATCAAAAGCATAAAAACCTCCCGCTCACTCACTTTCCCAACCCTCCAACTCACCCCAATACCAGTGCCATGTGGAAAAAGCGAGGAGTTTTTCCATTTTTGGGTGGGCGAGGGCGCTCTGCCAAAGCCAAAAACACAAAATGCACACACGCAATATTGGAAAATAGAGGAATCGATGGACACAGCGGATATTAAATCCTCAACCTCGCCATCATCCACAAAATTGTGGAAATTGAGTGAGGGACTATTGAATACCCCACATTTCCCCCATCTTGTTGGTGTTTTATTAAACACAAAATAGTTCTGTATATTATATTTTCCACTATGAAAACACCGCACACAGAAGGATAGAGAAAAAGTTTCCATATGAATTTGGGAAAATATATATTTGTGTGGTGCTTTTTGCATTTTAATATTAATTATTTTGGATTTCAATATGCATTAAATGTGCACGTTGGTTTATATGCAACTTTTACAGCATGAATAATTAAACTATATTAATATGTTATTGAACTTCACTCAAAATCACCACGAAGGGAAATTATTTATCTACATACATTTTGAAATATGTATATCTGTCAATTTTATGCCAATTTAGGCAAAATAATTGTTATTTCAGCATGTAAAAGAATATTTTGTACCACCTGGATTATCTACAGATTGTTGTGACAAATTATAATTGCAGATTATTGACATTTGAAGCAATGCAGTGAAGTTCTCTAAAATATTTTTCATGCTCTCGAGTATGTCAGTAATTAGCATAAACTTAGTCAAAATTGCATTGGCGTTCACCCAAAACTAATTTAAACAAAATTACAATACCTACACCTATTTTCTCATACGCCCTCTCACACCCTCTTGCAGCCCAAAATTCCATGGCATAGTGTACTTTCTACTGCGGCTGACATAGCGGCATAGGTGGTGGCTTTGAGCATAAATATCGTAAAAACATGCACCAGCGGCCAACATAAATTGACGTCATACTGTCACTTACATGAAAACCCGATGGTCGTGGCAATAAATAATTAAATATTTCCCCGAAAATTTGTTAAATTTCAAATAACACCCCAAAATGAGAACGGAAAAATTTGCAACACACAACAAACCATCATCAACCACGAGCCACCCTCTAGGCCAACCATTTTTCCGCCCTTTAGCCTCCCTGCCGCGATGCCTCTCTTTCACAGAGAACCTCCATGTACACATTTCTCACCCACCCCTTCGCGCTAAGTGGTCGTCCACTGAATTTACTGCAAATATTGGACCATGGCCAAAGTATGTATTCCTCGCTCTTAACTCAAAGCCAATCATCGACCGAAGAGAGCAAGGGAGGATGGAAAGGGATGTAAATTAATAATTAAAATGCCTCCAACATTTTTGCATCCCAAAACATCTCTCGCCCCTCCATCGTGATATTGATACTCAATAATATGATTATCAGAGTGAAGTTTAAGATAGATAGGGAACAAAAAATCTCATTTTCATACTAGAAAATGATTTTGGCATTTGTTTCTCTTCTCTGTCACAGTTAAATACATACAACGCAAGGGGTTTCTCCCCTAGTTGAGTGGAAAAGACCAAAAAATCGCAAAGATGAAAACAACATTCTCGGAAATCAAAAGTACACATACACACAGAAATTCTCTTTAATTAATTTACGGCAGTTCAAGCAGAGAGAGAATAATGTTATCAATATATGATTTATTTCAGATGTAATTCTCTTCAATATATTGCTCCTCATTATCACTTTGCGTGCGGAAGCTTAAAAAAAATTCCTCAAGAGTGTGCTCAGGGATTAACGTGAAAATTAATAATAATTCTGGACTATTGTATTAATATTTTATAATTGAAATACATATTTTCATTGATTATTGAGGTTGCACCCAAAATGTTTCTGTCAACCGCAAAAATTATTAAAATGAAATGGTTCAAAAATAGATTAAACATCCGCCAATATATGAAATGTTCGTGTAATGAAAAAACCTGGTGGATTAATTTTAAATACTCCACTTTTGCATTGAGATTCAACCAATCATACGGCCAAAAATCATCCAAATTGACCTCATTGATTGAAATACAAACAATCATGTGTGTTATGCATACATATTACACCAAAACGAAAATCCCCATATTTTGGAAAAGGAGCAAACCTTTTTCAAGCACATGCACAGAAAGTTCCAACACCTCAAAATTCCCTCAAAATAAATATGAAAATGTGGGGAAAGTGAAGGAGAGAATCCATGAAAATATAGAAAATTGTGTATAATACCATAAATAATGCACACATCCTCTGGAAAATTTGCGTGTTCTTAACTCGCTTCATTATATTCATCCGTGTGAATAAAGTATGAGGTATGTTGAACACACGGATTTCCGAAATCGCTACTCAAATATGCAAATATGATGTACACAAAAACCTCTCCACTTCACCCACTCTTCACTTGCCACTGTGTTTCCTCCGTCGAATTCTCTTTTGGCACCGAAACATCCCAAAATTCACTGTCATAGATGGGGAAACTACCTGTGCTGCAACCAGAGTTAATAAATTCGCAGATTGGCGATTAAATCAACACAAGTCACTTATGAAAATAAATTACAATCATTTAATAGCCTGATGATCCATCAGGCAGAACAGTAAAAATCAATTCAACTTGAAATAATTTTAGAAATCAGTGTGAACATGACTCTGTGAATTAACTCTGTTTGCACGCCTTCATCTAAATGATGCCATTTAGTTTTCATCCATCAAAAGCTCTCACTCATCCTGCACGTCTTGCACCTTTCGACACCAACAGAAGCTTCCCAGATTCCCAAATGTATGCTTTGCGGGGTGTATTGGGGATGGATTTGGGTGGATGTGCGGTGTAAAGAATTCGTGCACTTTCAAAGGTGTCTGTTAGCGAGGCTGACAAGGAAGCTTATTTATGTGCACCATGCGGAATGATTTCATTAAAATGAGTTGATGAAAATTCATCTCAGCCACATATTCTTAGCTAAGCGAAAGGATTACAACAGTGGAGGAAAAGCAGAAGCGAGGAACGGAGGAAAAAGGCAAAGTGGGAGTTTTCCTCGGCATGCGAGAAAATTCAACATGGAGAAAGAAACGATAGCGTGACGACGTCGATGCCAGAATCGGCAGAGAAGCGAAACCCGACGTTGCGGTGCCTGTACACAGAGCGATTCAACCCCTCACCCGAGCACCTCAGCATCATCGTCATATCGCACAGGAGGCAAATATAGATATTGCGGGGCTCCACCACTCTCTGGTTGGGTTCTGCGGAGAGATGAATGGCTTAGGTGGCGGCAGCGCAGAAGCCAATGGAGGCGCCCAGAAGGTGGAGTGTTCCGACACTGAGGGGAGGAAGACGATGCGGAGCACACCCACACAACATCAAGTCGAGCCAGAGGTGGTGTTATGTTGGATTTGTCTTGTTTGAGCAAAGATTTTCCATGCCTTCCGGCCATGCACACAAGCTCGCCGAGGAAATTTGTGTGATTATGAATTCCATAGGACAGAGTGACGGCAAAAGCCACGACTAAAATGCATTGTTCTTGTATTACTTGATAGCTTTGCAATATTATACTTCAGATCATATTGATTGAGATCCTTAATTCAAGATAAAAATGTTGCATTGACAAATATATACTCACTTTGACAATTTCCAATTGGCGGCATCCGGAATCCAGAGAGTGGGTCCGTTGGGAAGTGAAAGGGACGTTGTCCGAAGGCGAAGTGAAACTGCTGTTGTTGCCCTAAAACAGATAACACTTCGGCTTTAGTCTAAATCTTCTGTTCTCAGTAAGTTTACAGCACAAATCCATATGGAACGCCCACGAAAGTAGCAAAATATCAATCAACATCTCCAAAATATAGTGGAGGAATTAATTTAAGTGGAGGACAGTGTTAAAATCTCACACTTCGCAATTGTCACTGGTGAAATTTAGAAGGGATTTTTGCTCGACGGCATCTGAGATATTTATATTGGGTCCTGTGTGACCGGAGCAGCTGTCGCGAATGTGGCTTCCTCATCCTGACACTCTGCCCAGCATTACGGGGCGGGAATGGAAAAGACAGACAATACAATTAACCCCACTGAGAGCTCCTCGTGCGATTTTCCCTCATGCACACACTGGGCTCTGTAAGATACGACAAAGTTGCTTTTCACTCCCCGGATAGTTTTCCTCACACTTTCAACCCCCTTATTTTATTTCAATACATATATAATGCTCAGAGTTGCATGAGACAAAAGGTCCAACATGATTTCTCCATATTCTATTACAGACTCTCCCTTTCCCCTTCAACCTATTCTGCTCAGACGATATATTGCTATAGTGATGTGATAATGGAAAGTTAATACCATGGGATATTTCACGAAAATTTCACTGCACAATTGTGGGGAATTGAAAATAAGCCAAGCATGAAAAAATTTAGGATATACGACTATGCTTTTCCGAAATGGTCAAAAGATACATATATGTATGGCACTAAAGGCGACATATATTATCCAAGTAACCACACAAGTAAATCCGTGATAAATTAAATAAGGGAAATTCACATCCAATGGGAGAATTCTTCTCTTGATGAGGTTGACTCATCAGGAAGCATCTCACATTGTTGTCTAATTAAGTTGCAAATATGGTACAGGTGGAAGGAAGTGTGTGGCATAATTAATTAAATACGCATTTCATTATTAATGCAGTCTATTCAGGCAATTTCGATCTCTCTCTCTCTCACACACACACACTCTCCGCCTGTCCATCTCTAACATTTCGGCATTCACTTAGTAATCGTGGAAGAGTGGAAGTTGGCTCACCGACATCCTTGTGATTCCACCCTCAATGGCTGTCTTCATTCATTACCCACTCTGGCCGTCCCGCTTTACTAAACTATACTTTAGGGTCAATTACAGTTTGGAGATGAGTCCGGTGAGAGGTGCTCGTGAATAATTCACAATTTCCTCCCAGCAATCCTCTTCACTCCTCCACACAGTCTCAGGATCCTTTTTGTACCGATCCTGATGTATGTAAATTACATACAGTCATTGTGAGAATTTCAAGAACGAAGCACACACCAGAACCCCCCAATAAGTCCTTAAATCTAATACCATGCCAGACCTTGATGGACCCAACTGTGAATTTTCATTAGACTTTATGTAAATGCAAAGGTGCCCAGTGAGTCTCAGATTTTCCACTTGTATACCAGTGCACAGCACATTGATAGAGATTGGCATAAATTTCCATTTGAGACTTACTTGTCTTTGATCGGGGCTCCCGAGGTCCATCGACAGTCACCTTGATTGCCTTGTTGTACGTCGCCACTTGTGGTGGACTCGTTGAAACGGTTATTGTGAGGGTGAAACTCTTTCCTGAAAATGCACAGTGGCCAGAAAAAATCATTAGATCACTCAACACAGGATATTGGAAATGGACAAAATTAAAATTGCATTTCAAAAGCGGAAAATTGTCCAACAAAGCGACACATTTTACAATAAAACTTTTGATTGCAACCACATAATTGTATGTGTAAAATCCGGTGGAAGTTGCCAAATTGATTATCAATTTGAGGGTGGAGTTTTGAATTCTCGATAAATGAATGATGAAGGTTGATGGTGAGTAAGCACACATACATATTGAGATAAATTGATCCGCCAACACTATACCAGGAGAGTCACACATGAGTTCACAGATCGGAAAAAAGGCATAATAATTTTGCAGTAAAAATTATATGCATTAAACCAACAAATTGAGCAAATATTTTGATGTGACAAACAAGCAGAAATGTCGGAAATAAATTGAAATGTTATTATCAGGACGATTTCCGCCACGCTGAGCTCCAGACCATTACCACAGCGCGGCCATGAACATTTGCCCACTTCCCCAAGTGCAGCTCCACCATTTGGTCTCATCGAGCATGTATTACCAGAGGGCATTATGAGGAATCTCCGTTGTGACGCTTTGTTGGAATTTAGATAGAAAGAAGAAATGGACCCGTCTCAGATTGAAAATGATAAATTTCAAATGCATGAGTCATAGAAAAACAGGTGAAATATTGAATCACACCAAAAAGAGAATAGGATGGAACAATGATTAAATGACCGCGAAAAATCATGTGTTATCCGCTATTTTGCAGCCGAAAATAAACAAACCCTCCATTTTCGCGCCAAATCGACGTGAGGGGTAGATGAAAAATGCCAGTGAATTCCCCCACTGACCCGCCGCGGGGCAGAAGCGGAAGCGAGAGCGAAAAAGTGCAAACAGAGAGCATTTTCAGAGCCGAAGGAAAAACCACACATGAGCACATTTGAGCGTGGGTGAGTGAATGAAAAAGTGCAACTCTTGGAAAAATGCTCTCGCAGTTGTAGTTGTGTGTGGTGCACCGCCAACCGCCACCCCAATCTCATTTCCACCCGCCAGCCCCGCCAAAACTCCAGGCCAGTCGCTCTCTCCGGGTGTGGAGGAGCGAGAAGATGGCTGCATTGTCCATGTGAGCGCTCCGCCGGGCGAGTGAGCGGGATGACAATGGTCGGGTGTTTGGCGAATGTGAAAATCCTGGTGGCTCTGGCAATGTTGTCGGTCTGTGGGCTTCTATTAGGCTTGGATTGTGTGCTACCTCAAACCAAAATTCGGAGTACGCGGTTTGGTTTGTTACTAAAAATGTTGGGTGGCTTTTTTTGCGCCCACCATTTTTTCGGCCTCACACGCTCCCAAACCATCCCGGCCACGGGAGCGCGAACTCAGCAAATTGGGTGGCTTTTTCCATATATTCACCACGCCAGCTCACAAATGGAGGTTGAACATCACTCTCCAAGAGGGGTGGAAATGTGATGGGAAAAATACCACCGAGGCCGGAAAGTGAGGCACAATTTAGCGTGAGATTTATTCATTTGCTACATTCGGAGGACAAGTGAGACACTCCCTGAATGGAACCGCAAATACATGAAAAGTCTCCGAGCCCCCCTTTTTCCACCCCTCCCGCGTCAACTGCTACTGTTTTTCCGTCACTTTTTTTTTCACTATCCATCAACACGCTTTTCTATTTACTTATTTACACACCGGTTTGTTCTGCCACTCTCTTTTTTCTCACCAGTTTTCGGTGGTATTTGCCAATTTACTTACACCTGTTCCTCTGGCCCACAAAAAACAACGTTGCGGCCTAAATCAAAACAGGATTTTGCACATTCAAGAGGCCCCAACATATCGATTTGTGCATTTTCAATAACTCAAGAGGAGGAAATTTCAATTTGGAGAAAACTAGCAAAGTTAACTCTTAAAGCGAGACAAAATGAAGGCAATCAATAGGCAAGTGAATAACCACCCTCATCAACCTTCACACCATCTCCCCAGTGATGATGTGGGTTTATATAGGCACCTTTTGGCGCCCCACATCATGATTGATATCATGACACGTCCACGAAATGGTTTACTGCTGTGAGCCTTTCATCCTGGCCTCTCTCCGGCCCCGCATAGCAAATTCTACGCTATGAGTGTACAGAATGATGGGGTCAGACTCGAAATTTCCCTGTCGGTTGCCATATAATGTACTATTTAGCTGGTGAGAAGTGATAATAAATTACGCGAAAATATAAGTCGAAATAAAATCAACACCTCTCAACGACCATTCCAGAGACACAAAAATCTGGAATTGCTAGTTTCTCAAGCAAATAAGGGGTAGATCATGAAAGTCATTTGCATTTAACTACACGCATATCATTACACATTTCATCACAGTGTCAAGAATTCATCCCAAATCCGCTCATGAATTATTTTATCGTGCTCAGAGATGAGCTGAGAGGGTGGAAATGACGTCGGGATGGCGCTTCTCTATGCAAAGTATAATATTATTATCACGTTGCCAAAGTGTATAATGCATTGAATGCGAGCCGTGTGCGAATTGTTTCATTTTAGAGACATGAGGTCAAAGGGTGACGATGGAAAGGAGGGTGGTGAAAGCTCAACCATATGCACACCCCAAAATGTGGGGCGTCGGGTGACTTGAGGGGTATTTTAGTGGTGTGAGACATTGAAGTTGTTCTCTGGTGAAGGCATCGGTTTGATTTGAGGTTAAAGGGGTGAACCGAATGGGGGTGGTGCACGAAATTTATCCATACACGCTACAATGTGGAATATGTGTGAAATAATTTCAACCACTGAATATATACACCAAGAGAGAATTTCACATCCTGGCACTGTTTGTTGCCACTGTATTATTATTATTATTATTGTTTACACATGCTGCTGACAGGACTTTTCTCACCCACTCTCACCTGTCCCGTAACGCGGGGGAGACGAAGGCACCCGCGGAGGTGCCCTTTGCCCGACACCCACGGCAGAGCGCCCTTTCCGTGTCATCACCAAACTCGTGATTGTTGCTTATTTTACCAGCACCACCCCAAAATCGAAAGCCTCCAATCCCCCAGCGTGTATTCTTGAAAGCCCTCGCACTCAGCGCGTGTTACTTTGCGTGGTGTGACTCCTCGTGGCGTCGCGGCATAAATAGAATGATGGATTTTGAGGTTCTGCCACGAAAACACAACTTTTAATACGGTGTGTTTCCACTGGAAATTTTCATTGCAAATACTTTACTTTGCTGTGGCCAACCCAAATTTCCCGAAATGCCAAAATTTTCCACGAAGATCTCATTATAAATGCCCCGCTTTGATTTATATGGTTTTGCGATTATGAAATTGCGAAAATTCCTTTCATGGTGTTGAATTTCTTTGATATTGAATGATTCTCTGTTGAAATGAAATTTGCAATCTACTCCACTTTAATGATACTGTACACGTCTGTACATGCCTTCAGTGTGATTTTTATCCTCCAACGTCCCTCTTTCTATATCTGCATTCACAGGCAGAGGGAATCACACGGGTTTCGAGTTTGAATTGGAATGCCTGCATTGAGTCCCTCTTCTCAATATGCATTCATTTGAATCTAGCGCTGCACTCCAGCCTGGAAATTGAGGGTGAATCGTCAAATGAGTGGGATATGGGAGAGAGAGAGAGATTCAATGATGGATAATTTACGCGATAGATTGATCACCGTGGGCCTCTGCCCTCAATCACCCCCACCCCGCGTACACCCCGGGGGCCATACCACAGCCCACCCCAATGCATCAACCCCAAAAAGTCCAATCCCAGTGACTCTAAACGCAATGTGTGCACATTGAATAATATAATGGATGAGCTTAGCGCATTACTTGAAAACCGTTTCAGTGGAAATTGCGGAACTATATTATCGCAAGGGATGAAATAAATGGCTGCATTTTCTCCCATATAGCCAATGCATTGCTCCACACAAGCGCCTCCCCGGCGATATTGAGTGCACTTGTCTATTGATGTGAATTTTCCATTTATTTGTGTAATAATGTGCATCAAGCATTAATGTTCTGATACAGTTCAAACAGCACACACACAGAAAGGGTGAAAATCTGATAGATTGAAAATGCTCTGGAGGGGTTAGAAAAACTCCTGTAAATGGAAATGGTAGCTCATTATTAGAATTATTCTCTATACAGTATTTTGTGCTACTGAAGTACGACTAATTAATATTGGGGTTCGTAATGTATCTCGAAATATATATATCTCATATATTATACCCTGATTAGTCATCTTAACAGAGAGTGTGAGGAGTTTTACGGTTATACGTAAACAACCAATGTATATTCTGCTTCAAAAGAACAAACGCAAGAGTGAGTTAATTATGACACTGCCACTTCTTTTGTAAGGTAACAACCTGACATTGTGAGAGCAATATAATTTAAATTCACAATGAAACATACGGCCCAGTGCTAGAGTATATCAGGCAATTGAAAGTGTAATACGCTGATTCTCCCTCCGCGCCATGGCAAGAGAAAGAGTGTTTGTGTGGCGTGAAGAGGGCATGAATATGTGGGGGGCAAAATGAATTGGAGACGTGTGTTTTCGACGATATATTTAATTGTCAACAACTGGTGACACTATATATAACACCCAGGAGGAACACCATGTGAATTCCTCGGCGAAGAAGGGTTGAAGGAGCTGAATTCAGTGTTTGTGACACGAGGAGTTTTTGGGATATACAATGCCGTCGCACAAAATGTGGGGCGTTCTCTCGCATCACAAAATAATATATAAATTTCACATTCGAAACATGCCAAAGAGAAGTAATTTGTCACCGTCTCTCCACTCTTTGCCGTTTTTCAATTAACACGCGCGCACACACACATGAGAAAGTTTGCCTTCACACCCAAAAATGCACAAAAGAGATTGTGAGGGCGTGTGTGACGATCAAAATTAGAATGTGGCTTTTTGCTGCCTACGAGAAAATTTTAATTGAATCTCGGGGAAAAATTCTCCATACACGCCACTCTTGTTCACTCTTTTACCTCATTAATTGTTTCAATTGTTGAATAGTTAATTAAACTCCGTCTCCATCAGTCCCCAAACAAGAGACATGCCACGTTCGAGAGACACTCACCAATGCCATTTATTTTATCCCAGTCAATTCAGCACTTTGATGAGTCACCCACATTCAAAATTAATTATCTTTTGTCTTGCCCCCGTCAACCCTCAAAATCCACCATCTCAAACACCAACAGCTCCTGATTAGTGCTCAACCCCAGACAAGGAAACTAACCCAGACCTCATCGCAATCAGAATTATCTGTATAGCATCATCATTTCGCTGAGGACAATGGCAGCATTGCTATCTTGTGCACTAAATCGCTGTGTACGGCAAGAATGCTCCATGGAAATCTCCCTCACAATGCGCAAAGGACCCCAATGTGTACTTTAGATCACAATATTCTCTCAGTATTTCACACAATCGCGACAGAGAATAAAAGAGATGAGTTAGTTTTCTACTTTATGCAAAACACTATACAACAATGAATTAACGATTCCGCCACTTTAGCAATTAATTATGCGCTATTGAAATAAACTCTAGTCTTCGAACTCCAACAAAAGCCATTAATCCAGATGTTAAATGTTAGACAAGTGCAACGATAATGCAATTTCCCGTCACGTCTGATCAAATATTTTGTGCTAATTTTAACATAAGTATTGCAATTAAAGTCATCTGTAAACCATCACATCCATTTACATATGCATTTTCGTTTTCCCATTAAGTTTTCTGAGAAATACTTTAGAAATTATAGTAGAGCCCAAATTCATTCTAATTCACCCACTACATATACCTGCCAATTGAACCATCTATTCGCGCAGTGCATGTATTGATATTCTAAAATTGCGCTGGATGATGCAAAACATACAATATATCCCCCGTGTAAATTAATTACAATGTCTAAATAACACACAAAACGCTCAAATACAGAGGATTGTGGGCGAAACAAACCCAATCAGTGGAACCACATTTCACACGTCCTGCAAAGACGAGTGAGATACGCACACCAGATTCCCCGGAACACCCACCAAGAGGATGGGCAGGATATGAGGTAGTGGCACCTGAGAGCAAATCTCCCCACTTGTGTGTGTGTGCTGGGGAGCAGTGAAATCACTCTGTCACCCGTTGAGAGGCAATTAAATGGTCACGACATCTCAAAACGACGACCCCAATCTGTGATAATTGCATCCAAATGCAGAAGGACATGCAACCTCATATATGAATTTCACACATTTCGTGCGAGCCAAGAGCCGGGAAGGGGAACGAATGGTTAATTGGAGGACAGAGATCAAGAGATGAGAGGCAAGATCAATGGAAGACTGAGAAATTGGAATGATGCTGCATGGAGGTGTATATATTGGTGGTCAATCATGAGATGTTTGTCATCCTCAATTCCCAACCATCCTCTCTCGTATATGTGGAAATCCCACCCACTCCTTGCCACTGCAATCACACATGGAAAGGTGATTTGCAGGCTGACGTGGGTGGGAATGAGGAAAGATGAATAGAATGGATGTGATAAAGGAGGAGAGGTGGCAAGAGCGATTCCTACCAAAGACACCTTCGTGTTATTAGGCTTAACTCTCTCGGTAAACCATATTAAATTCACATATCACCTTTGTGGTGTCAATTTTCCGCTTTCCTGATTTTCATACCCGATAATCAACTCAATTAAATTGCCATGTTATGTGTCTCATCCTCCCTTCGCGTCGCTTTGTTGTTCAACCACGTCCACTTTGTCGGAAATTCCCATTTCACACTGGTTCCTCCTCTCTATATGGATCAGGACAATTCAGACACTCATTCACACAATTCACAGCAAAATATTTTCTGCATTTTCCGCTCGAATCTATTGGATAGTAAAAATCGCATGTCTCAATTTTCCACTTCATAGAATTTCCCTCAATATCTCCATAGAAAAGAAAGTATTACAGTGTGAATTTTTCCAAACAACATCCCAAGTGTGAAACTTCTTCAAGTGGACCAAAAAAGACGACATGTCCATTAAGTGCCTCAGCATTTTCCTTCCTTCACCCAGACATCACCTCTTTTCCCACAAAAGATTCCTTTTTGACACCACCTCGGCTAACATTGAGGTAGTCCTGCACTCCCATCTCCGAAACTCAGAGGGAAAACTTTTCGTCCGTCCTTCTTTGCTTTCCTTTTTGTACCCACCCGAGAAAGACGCGGTGAAAAGGCCCCTCAAGTGCGACAACTCAACTCAATAGAATACACACCGAAGGCAAAAGTATAGCACAGAGTTGGAGAATTTCCGTCAAGCAAGAGACTTTTCCGTTTTTCCACTTCCCCCAAAAATTCCCCCAATCCATCTTTCTCTATTTGTCGTGGGTATTACGAGTGTTTCAGGGCGACGGAAAGTGGCTTAGGTGGCGGAAAATGTCAGAGCAAATAATGTAATGTGTTCTTTAATATCTTCCTTCCTCCTCTTTTAAACACCCCAAGGATCTCCCCTCGAGTACACAAAAATCCAGAGGTGGGAGTTAAGAAGCGTGTATCAAGAGTTGTAAAGAGAGCTTTTCTAGATTAACCAAATCTTCTGATATTTATCACAATATAAACGAAGACTAGAATCAATGTTGCTAATTCTCAATAACTCCATCAATAAGCTAGTTAATTAGCCATTCTTCTGACTCCTTCCAGTATCTATCTCTGTGACAACTCTGGGAAAGTGTTAAAGATTGAGTAAGGAGAAGCAACAGGAGGATTTTTCTTATGTGCTCTGCGGTCCTCCGCCGCAATATCTCACTCAATTTTCTCCCCTTTTTGTCACTCTCTCCCCAGCCGCGGGCAAGTGTCTGGTTTTGATAGGATATCAAATAATAAATCTAAATTAACTCACCTCGACCGCTGCGGCCCACGAATCGTAAATCATTGAATTTAGCCACTTGATTCTTCATCACGGCAGTGCTGTTTCTCAGCTCCGCGCAGTAGTTCTCATCATTGCCTGCCCTCACGGTGACCATTGTGCCATCGCCGATGTCGCCGAGCGCCACCACTTTGAACGCCACCGGCAGGGTCTTGTTGGAGCGCCAGTGAGGCGGCAGGACGGTGCAGACGAAGAGCGGACTGCCTGTGCGGATGAGCTCGCCCGGGTGTTCTGACAGGAAGTCGCCGAGTGTCCGCTCTGCCAGGATGTCGCTGGTCATTTTGGTGTAGGCATCATTGAGGAGACTTGCGGCCGATGGCGTGGACGTGCCACCCTCGCCAGGTGAAGATGTGGCCCCCGCCGCACCACCGCCACTCGTGGCCGTGGTTCCATTTGCGGTCGAAGCACTTGTTGTCGTTGTGTTCCCTGTCAAGTGCATTCTTCACAGTCCCACCTACAGGAGTCACCAATTTTCACCCGTCAGTTCCTACTGCACAGTCTCTCTGTCTCGCTATGAGTTTTTGTCCGACAATTTCTTGTGTGACACTTTAATTAATTAACCCCCGAGGGCATGAAAATGATAAAATACACTTTTTGACAGTGACTTGTGATATTCCACAACCAAAAATTTCTCTCCTCTAAATCACTTAAATGGCAACAGATTGTTCATGACAATATTAACACAGTTCTTTCATTATTCTTCCTCTCATTGCACATCATTTATATCTCACTCAACTTGGATGTTCATCGCAATCTTCTCTCTTAGAAGTATTTAACTTGTATTTTTTTTAAGATCCTTTTGACCCACAGAATTCTGGAATATATTAATAAAGAGTGTAATTTAAATTGAGTTTTCAAAATTCAAAATAAATTTTCAATTTTGATAACCGTGATAAAAGTGAAATCATAAATACTATTTAGGAAGTCAAGGCGACAAATTGCAGAAAATTGATGTAAACGTGACATTTGATGAGTTCTCTTGGGTCAAATATGAAATCATCAACTCTGACAACGCACAGACATTCCATTCAGCAATTCTCTTCTCAGTCATCCCATCTCGAATACATAGCATAACACGTACTGATGGTCTCCAACATTCTCCCCCAGGAGGCACCCTCTCTCTCTCTCTCTCGTCATTTATGACGATAATGGAGAATTTATACACACCAGACGGTCAGCCCCGCACACAAAATGTCCATGCATGATCGCAAAATGAAGAGAGCGAGGAGTCGACTCCTGTGTCATATATTGGAAATACATTTCGCTGCAATCACAGCATTGCCGTCGCTCTGTCGATGAAGCACAAATTTCATCTGTGCGATTATTTCGAGGAATATATGCCCACCTCTCTGTCAGGCTACATATCAGCTTCAGTTGAAAATCCATCTTCACACATCGCACCAGAGTCAGTCAGCAGATATTCATAAATGTTTGCCCAAGGTCAGGAAAGCACAAAACAGACGAATGTGAAAGGTCAAATCCCCAGTCTATCCTGATCAACTCTTCATTCGATCACTTTTTAAATCGCAAGGCATCGAAGCTCCCGAATGAGAAAGCTTCAATGATAATATGACAACAATATCGAAACACCACGCCATGATGTCGATTGAGCTGTGCCTGCTTTTGTCTCGCCACAACGTCGCACGCTTGTGAGGTCAACCCAGGTTGGTTTGGTTTACCCGTCTATCCGCACGCCTTCCGACCAAGCCCATGTCCAGGAGAGTGAGAATGCACTAAAATCCTAGCTTTGTCAATGAATTCATCTGGGTGCAAGCTTGTTCCTTTCCACAAATTCACATTTTAGCAGACTGCAAAAGTCCTGAATCGACGTCTAGTTTATAGTGGGATTTGCTTGTTGATCACTTGACATGATGTCTCTTCTCCGCCTTCGAACTCGAAGCCTATACGTATGGGATCCTTAGCTAAAATGCAATGAGCCCGAGTTTTCCTGTGTGGAAACTTCAATATTAAACTGACCCCATTTCCTCAACTATACACTCGTACTACACATCACTTCCGGCATGGAAAAAATGCAATCAATTCTCCATTCAATGAATCTCACCCAAACTAGTTTTAAATTGCGTACAGAGGGAACAAGGAATACAACACCGAAAACCAGAAAACACTGACTTCATTTCACTGAATCAACCCCCATTGAGGATGGAAAAAAAATTGTGGTTCAAACTACCCGTGAATTTTTCCACTCTTCACTCCATCCCCGCACGCCCGGTCAAAATACCAAAATGCATACTGGTCAAACTTTTCCACTTTGTTCATTTTATTCCACACCACAATCACATTGCACACACGCAGATCAACTTGTGATACGGTTGACACACACATATCACACGCGAACCGAAAAAATTCCGGTTGAGGGGGTGGTGATTTTTTGGCTGGGATTTTATGTACTCTCTCCCTCGCCCACTCTTGGTGGCCACTTTTTACCACGGTCCATTTGGAGGTTTTGGCAGGTGAAGCAAAATACACGTGGATTCATGTGAAGTGTTGCACGCAAAAGCTCACACTAATGGTGAATACTTCAGTATGGAGTTAAAATAACGTTACGAAAAAATAAAAGCGAATAAACTGAAATATATTGAAAATCATTTAAAGCAATTCTTTAGCATACGGTAAGAAATTTAAAAAAAAGTTGATCAAAGAGTGAACACTAAAGATTCTTTTTATCTTGAAATAATTAATCAATAAAGAAGTAATGTTTTCCAAACAATGAAATTTTCTTTTTAAAAGATAAATCGTCCGTGGCTATTGATTATTTTTTATTATAGATCTGCTCTAGCGATTAGTAAAGTATTAATAATAATTATTGTATTATTGGGAGTTAAATTGCAAACACAATAAATTATATCAATCAAATAGCTTGAAAAATCGCAGAGCAGTTTTATTCTTTTCATGGAAATTCAGAGCTCCAACAGTTCAAATCCTTACTAAAATTATATTTCATTTTACAGTTATAAAAAAATTATTATTCGCAGCAATTGTGAAATTCACCTACAACTTTTCAATGTCATCGCACAATGAGGCACAGAAAAATGCCGTGACGGTGGACATGAGGCAAAAAAGATGGGATGAGGGTGAAAAACGCGAAATGGCAAACATAAAAGCTCATCTACCGTCCCTCATTTTGGCACACACGCAAATGGAACTTTTTCACCGTGCATTTTTCCCAATGTCCAACGTTGGGATAAATGAGCAAAAAAACGGCCAAAGGGTTGGAGATCCGCCGGACAGACGAGCAAGGGCAGAAATTGTTACAATCCTGTCCAGTGGTAAATATATGATGATTTTTTCCACCACACAACATTCCACAGGATATTAATCGCTTTATACAGTGAGTTTAAAAATTTATGAGAAAATATATTCCTATCGTGCATATATTTGGGTGTTGATACTCGCTTTTTTTCGGAGGGAGAAAAGCACACTCGCTAATTTTCACTGACCCTTTTTCCGACAGCCACACTTTTTATCTAGAATCCTGAATTCACCCACGATATTTTCCCTTTGCAATTTTTCAGGTCAGAAAAGTGTTCATAAATTTTACCGTTTCCGCCAATAGTTTTGCAGTGCTCAATAGAGTTTGAAGTGAATTTGGCAAATCACCTGGAAATGCGCGTTTGTGTGAATTTTGTGGAGTCGAAATTGTCGCATAAATTCAATTAATGAAAAACTATTTAAACTGCCGTCGAATAATGCAGCCAGCGGAATTTTGTTCACACACAAAATTATCCTAATTGCCAAATTGGCTATTGACCAATCATTTTTCACACCATAAATCGGAGCACATGGATGCACTTCTGACCCCTTTCCTCACGACCTCGCAAAAAGGAGGGCTCCTCGCGATAAGTACGGCAGGAGTGAAGAAATCAACCGATCTGGATTAGCGCTTGCAAGATTCCCGTCCGTGATTTCGCGTTTTGCTTGTTTTCACTTCAATTTTACACACACTCTGTGTGTGGCACACTAGTTGGGATTTTCGGGGCCCCAACATTGCCTCCGTCCTGTGCCTCACCCGCTCACCGTCTCGCCCCCAAAATCACTCGTGGTGGTCGTGATGTGAACGAAAACACGTCGCGCGCCTCCATATGTATGTTTTAATACAATGTGTGGGATTATTTGTGTGTTCGACAGCGGCGAAATTGTATATAGTGGAACATAGTGTTGGAAGAGGCGCACCGACATAATTTCCCATTTTACCTCTCTCTCTCTCGCGCAAAATACATTTCCCAACTCACTTCCTCGCCCCTCAACAAAACGAGCGGCCTCCGCACATCACCCACACCCCATCAGGCGCACTCCTTGCTCTATGAATTGAATTGAGAGCCCACCATTCGCGGTTGTATGTGAAAATTGTTCAGCACCGCCAAACAGAAACCCCAACGCGGGAAAGGAAGCTTGCGTATCTCAGATATGCTCCCGAGAGTGAGATGGATACAGAGATGAACATCATCTTAAGACATTCCCACTGGAGGCCCTCAAGAAGGGGAAATCCGCGGAAAGCCGAAGAAAATCATGCTCCTTAATTCATGTGTGGTCTCAACAATTTTCTACTCCCCTGCCAAAAAAGTGATCCCCAGTGGAGACGCCTGGTAACACGGAATAAAATTTATTTTTATCATATTTTATATTCCCCATTTTTCCACTCTCCCGCAGGGAAACATTGCGTTCGCCCAATCCAAAAAGCCATATCAAATGTGTCGTGAAAAATCATGAAAATTTTTATATGCACAAAACACGCATTTCAACATCAAACACCCAACAACTGAAATGCCATTGGAAAAAAGAGTTGAGTGAAAATGTTTATGGCCAAAAAGGGTTTTTAGTGGATAATTAAATTTTATTTATTTACACTACTCCACTGTTGCTGCGTTTCCAAGCCTAACAATTATACACACGGCAATTGGAAAGGCACTCACATTTGATGCAACACGATATTGTCGTTAAGGGAGAAAATTTTTCACTCACAATTTGAAACATTTGGAAACTGGCAGAGAAAATTTTGAGTGATAGCCCATTACGAATTATAATAATCTTGTAGAGCTATTTGGTATGGCTGTTAAATTTTTTGTTTGTGTGACAAACACCCGGCGTCCCCATTGAAGAAACCAAAAATGAAAAATCTCTGATCTCTCCCCTCATATTTCTCCCCATTCACGCCGCTCTTTTCACATTCAGTCACACACTGTGAAAAATATGAACCTGTTGCTGAACTTTTTGTCACTCATCGTGTCAATCACGTTCACCATCGAGAAGTGACTGGAGTTGAGCATACTTATTTCTCAAAGGAGTTGTTAAAGATTGCATTAACACCTTATAAACCCAGCTCAATTCCAGCCAATTTTCTAGTGAAACTATACGAACCAAATATAGCCAATTAATAGTAACCAATTGTAATTTTGTTTTACTTTTCAGAATTCCAGAATATTATTTGAGTGGTTAATGATTCAATCAAATATTCCCCATAACCACTTTGTCACCTGAGCAGCAATGATCATCACAATCAAACACTCATAACGACTTCTTGCTGACCGCACTTCAGTCTGACACAATGAGAAATTCAATAACACGAACGTATGGCAAAATCCACAGACTCACGTGAAGAGCCATCGGAATTTCACCCCATCAAAACACACCCAGCAATTAATCAAAATTTTATGGGTGAATTTTTCTCGTTATTGTCTTCCACAGCAACCACCACAATGTTCATGAAAACACAACAATCACTCACAGTCCCGGCGCGAGGAAGAAGCACCAGAGCCAGCCGACAATTGCTGTCTGGCTTGGCCAAGAAGTGGAACGCAGCACACAAAATACAGTCCGGCAGAATCGTGAGCTGTGGCGTTACAAAATGCGCTCGAGAGCTTTTGGTTAGTCGGTTGAATTAGGTGCGAGGGTTTTGGGCTACTAAACTAAGCATCGGTGGCCGTGTGTAGAGAGATATGATGGTCACCCATGTTGCCACTGGCACACAGTCTCTTCTGGGCTGTGCTTATGTTGGTGCACGGATCTCCCTCCGGACCAAGAGGATATGGAGTTGAGACGAGAGAGAGCACCGAGAGCGAGAGGGTCGGTCCGAAGGGGGTTCTTTAGGCATCCCCGCAGTGGAATGGAGTAACGTATAAAATAAATATATGAGTGAGAAGGTGAGGTTTCAGCCGAAAATTTTCCTTATATATAACAGCACAACTCCAACTCTTTCTCACATCACATCGGGCCCTCCCTTTCGTCCGTGCACTCTCTCTTTTGGCATCCATGCTCAAAATGTATATAAATCCTGTGAAATACCCACTCTATGTAATTTCTCTACCACCAACTCCGGGGCTTGATTATCGTCCTCTCACTCACACGCATTTTACAATGTACAGAAATTACGGGGGAGAGACCAACATGTATGCTTCAAAAACGTGTGTTGCTACTGCGGTACACTCACATGGTACTACCTCCTGTTTACACCAAAAATACCATAACCCAGTCCTCACGCTCCAGAATCCCACTATTGGTGTCCGTGACAAATGTTCAGCAGGACAGTAGAGTGTCCTTTATCACCTGAATCAAGCACAAAGTGTCTCAAAAGCCACAGAACAATCTGTTGATTATGCCAGTGAGATCATCTACAAATAACTTGATCACAATAAGAGGATTAGAGACCTTCAAAACCTCTCCTTCGATATTTCCGCGAAGCGCGTAAGCTGTAAAATCTAACAACGGAGAGAGGGCTATCATCGCAATTGGGGATGTTGTTAAACCTATGCAATATGGTTTCCTGGAGCATTGCCGTGGTTTCATCATGTTGTTCACTGTATATTTTCCGCCGCTCTCGCCAGCAGACACAATTTTCAGCACGAGTCGCCCCACTGTTTAAACGCACTGGGTATATAGCGAATTTCCCCGTTTTATTTATGTAACATATCATGTGTGTGAATTTTAACCCTTTCGCACACATACACACCCTCTGCAATACGCTTGTATGAGGGTTGGAAACACTATATATACTACGTTAGTCCTCACATACCATTTTAGATGAGGAGTCATGCCAAAATGAGGCATGTGATTCTCTCACCATGTGAGCAGTTTAATTAGTCAAAACGAGACAAAATATCCAACCAGCAGGGTTGGAAAATTCAAATTACTAGTTACTATAGCATTTCATCTTTGAGAGAATTGCTCGAGTGTTTGTGAGAGAAGTCAGCAACAGTCTTCACAAAATCACACAATCTCTGGGCACGAAAATCCTCCCCTCACCCCCACCCCCCCTCCATGGAGCTCACAAACACACGCTCAGTGTTCCCTCCTCCTGCCACTGTGGCACCAACACAGGAGCAACTGTTACTGATGAAGCTCCAAGTGGAACTGTGAAAATCTGTTGCGGTCAGAGTGGGTTGGGTTATGTTTCATGGTGGAAAACTCTCAAACTGCCGCCACAATCCGGACGAGTTGGAGTGAAACAAAAAACACGTGGAACAGGCGGAGTCGGGAAATAGTTTTCCCAAACACACAAGCACCAGCGCGCACACACAGCCGAAAACATGTATTTTTCGTTGAGCGCAGCAAAAGCACCAACCATATGAAATTCAAATACACATCTCTCCCCCATTCTTTTTTTTCAGAAATCCCACTAAAATCCCATGCAGCTGAGCAGAAGAGAGACAGCGAGAGAGCAGTGCCGGGAATATTTGGAAAATATAAATTAACCATCGAGTGTTTTGCTGTATTTTGCCATACCCACCATTTGTGGGGGGCCCCAAGAGTGTGGGAGTGAAAGTCAACCAAAACTGAAACAACACACAAAATCCAGTTGAATGGGGGAAGATTTTGAGGAGAACCGAACTATCGTGAGGTCTTATCGTGGTCCATTTAGTGGTGAGACTCAAAATTCCAACTTTGAAGCCCAAAATCGGATGAGTTTTCCGTCGAGAATTTTTGCCAAATATTTAGTTTTACATTCCAGACATTTCTCACAGTTATTTGTAATTCTCACACCAACCAAATTTTATTCAATCAAGAAAGCCACACAACAAGAGCACAATCTAATATCTTTGCAAATAAAAGCCGAAAAGAGGTGTTCTTTTGCTTCAGATTGTATGAAGAAAATGCGAATGAGTGAACAAAGCTCATTAATTCGACATACAAACAGGAACGCATTTAAACAATGGATGTCTAATGAAAATTGCCCAACACATTCACTCTTCTCTCCTTGGCATGTACAATAAAAGTGGGAAAACCACCCTCATGCGGGAATCATCCGCATTTGCTAAATTTCCAGCAATTCATTTGTACTTTGCTCCCATACGTCTTTGGGTGCCAAGACATATTTGTCAGGAAGACATCGTGATGGAGGATAGGGGTAGAATTATCATTAAAGAACCTGTATGTCTCCAAATTTCCAACCAAGGGTGACTTGTGGGTGGGATTTTGTTGCATATAAAACTATCACACCGCCCTCAACTTCTTCATTCACCCTCAACATCAATTTTGGCACAATCACTCACACAAGAGGGTGCGAGGCAAGTGTAAGCTGTAGAGATGAAATTTATCATTCCCCACGATTTTCCTACTGTCCGGCTTAACATATTCACCCTATCATTCCTCAACATCCCCGAGAATCCACCCAGCATCTCATCCTCCTTGGCAATAAAAACTCCATACATCTCTTTATCCTTTCGAGGCATTGGTACGAGAAAGGGTTGAAGAGTCAGCACAAAATCGAAACTTTGCTTATTGTTAACTGTAGAAATATGTATGCAAGTTGAGGGAGGAAAATGAGGGACAGACACAGGGGCAACTTCTAATGAAAGTAGTCACAATTAAAATTTTGTGAAAAGGACATTACTTTTCACTAAAATTCACCCACATCAACTTAATATGTAACAATTAAATCCCATTGTGATGAACTTTTAAAGGTTAATTTTGACCTAGGCAGACCAAAAAGTTCTAAAGTGCTTGTCTCGTTTAATGTTTCCCAGGTAAATGGATAGTTTGAAATGAGAGCTTTGAATATAAAAGTTATTTGTGGCACTGACTTATTAAGTTTGAGTGTTGCCCTGTGGCGCATATGGTTGCTATATGCATACATTTAACAATCTTCATCAATTAATAAATCACTAGAGAGACAGACTGCAGAAAAACCCTTTCACTGCCATATACTTATATATTAATCTAAAGCAGTATGTGTAGAATAAATGATTTCACCATATCCCTGGTGGAGTTAAATTTTAAAACAATTCATGGGATTGGAGCGAGAGTTTGTCTAAACTTTTCACCCACTCTACGGACTCGTCTAAACAATAGATTGCGAAATACGAGATAGAGAATTCTCTAGTCTGCATTTTACTAATAATAATCCCTTCGCAGTGTTGCTAAATGTTGGGGTCACTTTTCAGGATGATAAACGTCCTTTTTCCACCATACACACACACAATTCTCCGAAGAAGGGTTGTGAAATATCCATTGAGGGTTGTTTAATTATTTTCCTTACATGACATTTTTGATTTGTTGGAGAAATTGTTGGAAATTAATTACAGAAGAATGCGAGAGAGGATGCTTTTTTGCGCTGTTGTCCATACATAAACCCGACCAACAAGAGGATAACAAGTGGCGAAAGTGTGGGTGAGATATTGAAAGAGGAGGGTAAAGTCATAAAGCGAACCTCTGCATAAAAAATCCCATTCCACACATTACATGGTGTTTCTGGGTGGACAAAACATACTCCGAGAGAGTGCCCCTCTTTGGCAGAGCAGCAAGAAGTGCAAAAACAATGGAATCCCACCATTTAACTCAGCCTAACTGCCTTTTAGCCTTCCACGGCGCCCCTCTTTAGGCGCTCTTTTTACAAATGTGTCGGCTACAACACAGAGGAAAAGCGGCGCACCACCCCATCTTACTTTGTTTAATTTATCACAGGACATAGCCGAGAATTGGGAATGGACAGTGTGAGATGGGGAATTTTTGGTCATTTTGAGTAACGAAACCAATTCTCGGGGTTTGCACGGAGTACACAGAAGGCAAGGAACGGCGAGGCCTCTCCTCATCCTTTAGTTGGAGATTCAGAACCCTTTTTCCACGTGATTCCTCCGTTTTTGGCCAGAGCCGGGGTCCAAGTGTTTGAAATTGCTTGGATACATCAAATTGCTGAGCACTTAACCCTTCTCTTTATTCACCCCCTGGAAAACACCCACAACACATGGACATTCCAGCGAGAGAAATGTACCCAGGAGAGGACACAACTTCTTCCCCAGTTATTATCATTAATATTTATTGTGTTCTCCTTCGTTTGCTTGATGTAAATTTAATAAGGGATGAATGAATGTGTTGCAGTTGCCGTCCGGTTGTCATGTATAACTTACTTTTTCCCAACTCCGCCCACGCAACCACGCACCCTACATCACAATAAATTTACGCTTCATTTTGAAATTGGCCAGCACATGGACTCCGTGGTATTGTCCAAAAATAGAGGATTGGGGGAAGAAATGCGAAACTGTTTCTTCAATTTATCTAAATTTCTCTGAGGCGGCCAAGAAATGTTGAGTGTATTTGAGAGGACAGCACTATTTAGCACAAATTTCATGCACACGAAAAATTTACCCATAAAGTTTAATTAGGCGCAAAATAAGAAGATGGTAAACTATAATTAGATGTTTCTCCTTCACAACGCAAACACCATCGCAGACAAGGGAAGTGAAAACTATGAGGATTATGACTTCTGGTGTTTTGAAATGTGAGCAATTCAGTTATACGAAGACTCAAAATGCCACCCACGTGGATGGGAATTTTCTATACAACAATCACATTAAACATTATTGCAGTGAAATTCATTTTGTTGGATATTCTGATCGTTAAAATTCTCTGGGAGATTTTATAAATAGAGATCCAGAGGGAAAGGGCAAC